GGAGAGGAAGGCTTGGCTGTATAAAGCTGTGGTCCTGTGTCGGAGCTGACTGGCCCAGACAGAGTGAGGCAAGCGTGTCCCGTCAAAACTGAGTGTCAGGCAGCCCCAGGTTTTGGGTCTGGGAGACGCTGATGGGAGTCTAGCTCCAGAGCACATCACAGAGGTGGTGTAAGCCCTAATCTCCAAGCTGGTAGCCCCAGAATTCCATCACAGCACAGCCCCAGGGCCAGGCCCAGAGCCAGGAGCAGGCTGGCAGGGGAACAAAGGTATCCCAGGCCGCCGGGGTATCAGGCAGGTCCACTTCAGCCCAATCCCATGAGGGAACTTGGACACCTACTCAGGACCATGGAAGTCCCCAGAACCTCACACTCAGGCTCAGGGCTCACAGAGCTATTTCAGAATTTATGGGCTGATGGTGAGAGCTATGGAAATCAACATCCGCTCCTCACTACGGGGACAGAGACGCAGTGGCCTGGGGCTACATCACAGCTACATAGAAAGATTTCACTTCCCAGGATCAGGACAGAGAGTGTCCAAGCTCAGCTTCCCCCTTGGGAATTACCTCCAGGCCCACAAAGCACTACGCAGGAAGGGTGGTGGGAGTTGCTGTCGGTAGCCGCAATAGCTTCAGCTCTGGGCTTCCCTCCTCCAGACTCATGCAGGCACACTCACCTTTGCAGCGCTGCCGGAAATCTTACTAAGTTCCGTCCCAGATGCCCCTTGCCTGAGCCCTGAAAGGCTCCGGTTGCCCTGAAAGTAGTTTGAGCTTCTCAGCCTGATACGTCCCTGACTTGGCCGCTGACATTTTTATCTTTTGACTTTCCCACCATTCCTGCAGTCTGATAGAGACCAGACTTCTTGGATGTTTGCATTCCTCCCTCTGCCTGGAATGTTCTTCCCTGTCCTGTCTAACTGATAAGCGCTGAGTCATCCTCTGAGACCCTGCTCAAGCATCGCCTTTATGAAGACGTACCTGGGCAGCTCCAACCTGCTTGCAGTTAGAATGCTTGGCCGTAGTAACAGACAACGTAAGGTGTTGACCACAAATCTATTCCTCCTTTTGCTTCTTAGCAAAGTATCCTGATTTTGTCCAAGTAGTCAACCCTCAGCAAAATGACCCCTAGCTCAAGGAGAAAGTAGAAAGAGGCCAGGCCCAGCATGCTAGCCCTGTCCTCCTGGTGGCAAGAAGCCAACACTGGTGGGCGTGTGCTCGGTTCTGGTCACTGCCTGAGTGCCCCATGGGATGGTGATCAGGTGTGATGAGCTCTTACAAAGGGGCTCAATCACGGATTGATTCTGCTGGGCTTGTTTGTCACTGCAGTGTCAGAAACTGAAACAGGGCCCGGTGCCAAGTAGGTCCCAAAAGAGTTGCAAGAAGCTGCCTTCCCTGTTAGATCCTTTTCAGGACTGTTTTCATTGGGTTGGCTGAGCAGGGGTCCCTCCTCGGGGGAGTTCACAAGGCCCAGAGTGTCTTCTCAGAATCATAGATGAAGGACTGGCTCAGGCTCGATGGCTATTGGGTCTTCTGTCCTCCCAAAGTCCATGCTCTTGTTTGTTGTTGTTTGTTCAAAAATATTCATGGAATGCTGGCTATGTACCAGCCACTGCATGTTCACAAATGAACAAAACCAAGCTCCTGCCCTCAAGGGGCTCACAGCTTTTTGGAAGGAGACACATAAACAGATAATTATCCTCTGATGTCATAAGGGCAGTGATTCTGTGCAATAGAGAGACTTCTTGGTTGCTAACAAGAACATTCTCTCTGGATAGTATAAGCAGAGAAGGAATTTATGAAAGGTCATTTGATAGCTCACAGAATCCAGTACCCAATGAAAACGATGTCTCAATCACATAGTAGGACAGACTCTGAACTCAGTTGACTAGAGCAGCTTCTGCCCTTTCCCACCAGGCATTGCAATGGCAGAAAATGAATCCAGTTTCAGAGAATGGGAAACCTTGGATCTGAGGATATCGAGGAAGTCCATGAATATATAATGTATCATAGAGAGTTAGAAAAATAAAATAACATTTTTCGTTACAGAACCACGAGCAGGGCACACATACCCTCTCATTTTCCTTCTTCGCTGAAATCAAACTGACCAGACCTCTAATTGCAAAAGTATTGTACTTTAGGAAAGGGTCTGTTTCATCAGAAGTACCCCAAAGCTTATTCCAGCAAAAATGATTTGGAGGTAGAGGACACTATCAGTGTCCTGGCCAGGTTCCTTTGCCAGTTGGTGCCCCTTCCCCCCGCCGCCACCCCAGTGGCCACAAGAGTCAGCTAATAACACCTAGCTGGCCCCTTCTCTGGAGAATGCCCTCAGCTAGACAGGAGCCATCTCACAGGGAGGGCACATGACCCCCCAAGCTGCTCTACCTGTGACCCCGGGAGGAGAGAGCATCTTTCCAATCTGAGGAGACCTGCTGCTTCCACCCTGTGGGGAGCTCCACTGGGAGTGACAATGGACTGCACGGTTCTGCTAAACAGATTTCCTTGCTGGGCACATAGTTGGACATCACCACGTTTCCTAGGCCGTCTCCTTGGCTGTAGCTTTCTTGAGGTTCCTGTTTGGACATGTCAAGCCAGTTTTGGGGTGGGTCGCAAGGGAATCTTTTGCCCAGAGAACCAGCATTCCAAAGGATTGCAGGGTGGAGCGATCTTCTAAGTCCTTTCTAAAGGGCTTTGGCTGAAAGTGACTCAGTGACTCAGCACTGGAAGAAAGTCCAGGGGGGGACTTGAACAAAAAGAGAAAAAAGAATCATTACCACCCGAGAGCCTCGCCCGAGGCCTGACCGACAGCCCCGAAACCCAGCAGTAAGGATTGAGGCCTGGCCCTGCAGGAGTCCCTTAGACCCTGCTCCAGCCCTACAGACAGCAGCCATGCACATGGGGCAGTTGTGCTGCATGAGTTGTTCAATATTTTAAACTACTTGTTCAGAGTTTAAGAGAATGGCCACCAAATTCTTTGACATTTGTCCCATTGACAGATGGGGACTGTGTTTCCTTCCCTTGAAGCTGGGCTGGATTGTGATGACTTTGACCAATAGGGCATGACGGAAGTGATCTGTGTGAGGTTTTGTCACAGAAGGAAATTCAGCCCTGAGCCGCCATGTAAGGGCTTCCACTACCCTGGGCCCCAACCCTGGTGAGGTCACATGTAGGAGTGTTAGGGGACAGTCCCAGCTGAGCCCAGCCTTCCAGCCATCTCACGAGCACCCAGCATGTGAGTGAAGAAGCCTCCAGATGATTCCAGCATCTTCCCTAGAGTTCTCTTGATATTTGGGTCTTCCCGACAGAGTCTCCAGACTTGCTGGAGCATAGACAAGTTATCTGCACTGGGCAACAGGTCTGAGTTCCTGACCTACAGAACCCAGGAGCATCATAAAATGATGGCTTTCTAACCACTACCTTTGAGGTGGTTTGAAAGCAGAAATTGCAGCAGGGTTTCCACCCCTGCAGGTAAAGGTAAGGAATCTGAGGCTCAGACACACACACACACACACACACACACACACACACACACACACACACACCACACACACACACGAAGTGATTAGGTCAGAGTCACAAGAGCCAGTGCAGCGTGGAGCCAGAATCTACCTCTCCTCTGTGTGAGCTCAAAGCCCCACTGATCTGCCTCACTCTTTGCTCCCAGGTATTTCCTCCCCAAAGCTGCATATTAATCTGCCCTTTAATAAAGCATCATTGTTATGTGATGACCTGCATGGGGAAAGCCTTGTCCTGCCCTACAGACCCCTGGCAGGCGCTGTGATGAGATGCTTGTAAATGAATTGAAGTCCAGCCAATGTGGTGTGACACCTGGACCTGACATGGACATGTATAAACATATTGTCTAGCCCTGAAAACAAACAAACGATTCTCAGGGTTGCACTCTATAAAAGTTTCTAGTTTGCAAACTAGAAAATGTTTGGAGGAGTTGGCCCCAAACCGGGCTTTAAGAGGGCCAGTTGAAGGGACTGGGGACATTTAGCTTTGACAGAAGTCTTGGCAGAATATGTGGGCTGTCTTCAGAGATCAGAAATGTTGTTAATGGGAAAGGATAAGCTTTGTAGCCCTAGATGGCAGAGTCTGGAGAGTAGGCTCTATGGGGTAGAATTTGGCTAATCAAAGTGGTCCTACTTTGGCCACCTCTAAAAATCCAAAGACACTTACATCCCAATGTACAAATCTTTATTGTTCTGAAAAGCACAACACAGGTATCTCAGCTTCTCCTGCAACCAGTTCCCATTGCCATTTGGTCAGGATTAGAGATTCTCCAGGCTTGCGTCATGGGAGGAAGGAGAAGCTAATTTGATCAAGGACTAGAGAAGCCCAAGCCTCTTAGAACACAGTGTCCTTGTGTCAGGCCATTAATTTTCAGCTTTCTCTGTTGGTAGGATGATGAGAGAATTTTTCTTCTACTTATAGCCTAGTATTTTAAAATTAAGCTGGTGAATGAATGTTGGCCTGGATATATGTGTTCCTTTCTCAGCTGCCCACAAGCATGTGCTCAGAAACAAACAGGCTCTCATGGCCTTTTCTGGTTGCCTGAAAGAGAAGCATATCAGCTGAGACACTTATTAAAATGCCATATTGTCTGGTCTATTCTTTGCAGATCTCAGATTAGTAGATGGGAGTGGGCTGAGAGCCTTGGGAAGTGGGCTCAGGCTTGGGAAGCTCCTGGGTAGGGAGAAAGAAATCATCACGAGCCCCTGTCGACCCCTTCATGTTGAGGTATTTGTCAGATCAGATGTATGCTAAGGTTGGCAGTGTGCTCACACCTGAAAATGACTTGGGAAGACAGTGGAAGTAGGAGCCCCAGGCTGATCCTTACTTCTGGGTCAGAGAAACTGGCTGGAAAGCACTGGAAGCTGGGAGATAGAGGACTGAAAGCTGTGCTGTGGCTCCCCCAACCCCCATCCCCATCCATGGCCAAGGTTGAGCAAGCAGGACCCAGCGGCTCCACCTTCTTGGCCTTTGCTCTTGTCCTTCTGAGCCTTCAGGGGTCACTGCCCACCAGGGTCAGCAGGGCATTCTTGTAGTCGC